GTTTTACATATTTACTGTTTATTTTAAATTATTTTAAATATATAAGGTATAAAAAATAATTAACTCAAATTGGAGTATTTAATCTTTATTTTCCGATATTACTGCGACATTAACATGCGTGAAGCAATATTTTTCTAGCTTGATATCCTTTGAATAAACGAACGTTGTTAAGAGACTTTACGGAAAATGTAGCTTACATAAAGTAACTTATGTTAAGCTCATTTGGCTTCAGGATTTGTCTAAGAATTTTTTACTCACCGTCGTTTTAATGAAGAAAAGTGTTCACTCCGTGGAAAAGACGCGCTCCTGCAACTTTAATATTACTTTTTCAACTACTTTAAATTCGTGTCAGTATTTACCTCCTTCTGTTAGAACACGCGAGAAAAATACACGTGATTTACAGGATGACGTTAAAAAGACTTATGCGGCGTTGCACTTGTGCAATTTCTCCATAAGATATTACACGCCACATAATGGCATAGACCGTTTCTTTTTCGCTCTTTTTTTATCTGTACGCTATCCTTGTTAATGTGACCATGTTAATTGTTTAATTACAGATTCGATTTATACCGAGCGGTTCATGGGTCTGCCGACTGTTACCGATAATCTGCAAGGCTACGAACATGGTCAGTTGCTCAATAAAGTCGAGAATATTAAAAATAAGATGTATTATTTGATTCATGGTACTCTGGATGACAACGTCCATTATCAACAGTCACTTATGCTCGCGAAGGTGTTGGAGCAGAAAGATATACTCTTCAGACAACAGGTACGTCCCCATTTTTAACAGAGAGATTAAATTAAAAATTATATCTAAGTATATCGCAAATCTTTTGCTTTTGCAGACGTACACAGATGAAGATCATGGTATCGTCCAGTCGCGAGCGCATCTATACCACTCGTTAGAGAACTTCCTGGACGAATGCTTTCAAATATCATCATGATCGGAACACGGGATAGTAATGACAATCTAGACGCTGTACACTACCTGCCTCACACTTGTAAATATTTTGTCACGTGTATATAATTTGTGTACGATATGTAATATGAGCGTTTAGAGAGTGTACATAGCAGAGTACGATTGTTGAGGAAGGATGAGGAGGGGAGAGAAAGAAAAAGAGAGAAAGGGGGGAGATGGAGGGACGAATAGAGAGGAGAGAGAGGGAGAGGGAGAAGGGGAGGGGGATAGGAGAGAGAGGGAGGGAGGGAGAGAGGAAAGCGAGAGAGGGGAAAGAGAGAGAGAGAGAGAGAGAGAGAGAGAGAGAGAGAGCGTAAAATGTGCAGAGATGAAATAATTAATTAGATACCGGTGTCGTCGTGAAATTAAGCAGGGCAGGTCTGTAAAAAAAACCATGTTTGATACGTTTTTTAAAGTACGTACTCGATCAAATGGTGCGTTGAAAGCCTAATATAACGGCATGAACTCCGTCGTTTCGCCGTTCAGACCTCACTAGAATGTATTCTGTATCATTACAGCTCGTACTTACATTCTCAGCACACAGGCGTTATTCACACGTTGTATATTATAGCACATGTTGTTTCTCAGATGATCGAATGAACTAATCGACTTGATATCACCTTGAATAGCAAAAATATAGGGTGCAATTCTTAACAATTTAATTTTTTCGTAATACTTTTTTAATGAGCTCACAATTTTTATTACTTAACGAAATTTTATTCGTAAGTTTTTACTTACATAGTCAAATTAATGAAGAAACGATATTAATTAGCAAGTTCATTTATTAATTAACGTAAATTATTCATTAATCTATGCGTCGAAACTTCTTTCTTGGAATTTTTCTCAGATGAAATTAATATTTTCTTTTTTAATTTACATTAAATTAATCACGCACACTATCGAACATGAATAATAATTTGACCATCCAGAATAATATGCTTTATATTTATATGTGTATTAGATTTATTTAATATATGTACATGTATTAAATTTATTTTTGTGGTTATTGCAATTACACCTTCTCTATTTAACGAAATATTAAGTTAACATATCATAATGTTCACATATATGAGTTCAGTTACCATCTTTATAAATGAGATCTCTGAATATTTTTGAAAAAAATATAATTTCAGTGTTGTACAAACGCGCGGATATATACGTATATTTTATTTTGTGAAAACAAATTAGAAAAAAATCTGCTCAAAGTGTAATAATTTTTTTATGTAACTTGAAAATCATATTTTTTATATTACAATTGCAATAATAATTGTTAAAATACATTTAATTTCAATGTTTGAAAAATATATGTAAAATAAATTGTTATGTTTATAAATAGATATGTGGAATTGTGAAATTTATTTTAAGTTGATACATAAATTGATTCTTCTTTCACTAATAACATGTTGTTC